TCAAACTGGGGGACAGGCCACCAAGTCAAGTCCTCTTTCATGTTCTGTGAAATCCTTCAACTTGGCCTCTTCTCTCCAATCCCACAGCCTCTGCTCTACTTCATTACTAATCACTTTCCACACTAACTGTTGCAACAGCCTTTTGTCCTTCTTTCTGCCACCTCCACATCCTGGCTGCGTTCACTTCACCAGATGTATCTTCCTAAAATCAGCAATCTTACCACAACTGACTTGTCAAAAACCTTCAGGTGGCCGCGTGCAGTAGCTGATGCTTATATTCCTAGCACTTTGGGAGGCCGAGGCAGGTGGATCACCTGAGGTCAGGAATTCAAGACCAGCCTGGCCAACATGGCGAAACCCCATCTCTACTAAAAATACAAAAATTAGCCAGGTGTGGTAGTGGGTGCCTGTAATCTCAGCTACTCGGGAGGCTGAGGCAGGAGAATCAGTTGAACCTGGGCAGTGGGGGCGGAGGTTGCAATGAGCCAAGATTGCACCACTTCATTCCAGCTGGGGAGAAAGAGTAAAACTCCGTCTCAAAAAAAAAAAACAAAAACCAAAAAACCTTCCAGGTTCCCATTTTTTAGGAGATACAACCGAAACTCCTTAGCGTGACATTCAGGACACAATGACTCATGATCCAGGGCAGCCTTTTCGGTTTCAGCCCTAGACACCCTCCTTCCCACTGTGCCAAGTGCTCTCTTACTTCCGCCCACCTCAACTTCCCCCAAGGCCTTCCCCAAGGGGGCCCAACACAATCCTGCTTGCCCTTTGAAACCTGGTTCAAGTACCATCTCTCCTTTCAAGTCCTTGCCGGCCCCTGAACTAGGGAGGACAACCATCCCTGTTTGTACCTGTTGTCTCAGTGCAATTCCTGAAAGCACTCATTTACTCAGACTGCCCTGCTTTGAATGATAAATTATATGGCCCTCATTCCTAAAACCCTGACCCAAAGAGAGAAATATTATAGTGACTTGTGTAAATGTTTTGCCTGACCTCAAGTGTTTTGCGTGCTCCTCAAGGGTAGTAACTGTCTTCTTTTAATGCGTTCTTGTTCCAGCATCTAAAGACTGTTAGCACCTGAGAGGGGTGAAATGAAAGAATAAATCTCAGCCAGTTGCAGTGGCTCACGCCTGTAATCCTAGCACTTTTGGAGGCTGAGGTGGGTGGATCACCTGAGGTCAGGAGTTCGAGACCATCCCGGCCAACATGGTAAAACCCTATCTCTACTAAAAATACAAAAATTAGCTGGGCATGGTGGCAGGCACCTGTAATCCCAACTACTCAGGAGGCTGAAGCAGGAGAATCACTTGAACCTGGGAGGCAGAGGTTGCAGTGAGCCAAGATCATGCCACTGCACTCCAGCCTGGACGACAAGAACAAAACTCCATCCTCCCTCCAAAACACATAAATAAATAAATAAACTTTTTAAACAACAGCTATGAACATTTAACCTTATAACTGTATTTGCTGAGTAACTTTTAATATAATATTAAACACAAGGCATCAAATAATATATGCAAATTATCAATTTATATAACTACACAATAGCAATGCAACAAATTTTTAAAAAACATTCAAAACTGATAATTTTCCAGCAAAAGTAAAACTACTGAAAACATTATTTTCTGAAAAGTGATTTTGTTTTCTTTTTTTGAAAGCAGGTTTTCACTGTCATCTAGGCTAAAACGCAGTGGCATGATCGCAGCTTACTGCAGCCTCAACCTCTTGGGCTCAAGTAATCCTCCCGCCTCAGCCTCCAGAATAACTTGGGACTACAGGTGGGCACCACCACGCCCAGCTAACTATTTATATTTATATTTTTATTTTTGTAGAGACAGGGTTTCACTGTGTTACACAGGCTGAAAAGTGATTTTGTGAACTTAACTTTTGTTTCATATGAGAAAATTTCTAACTTAACTAGCTGCTAGATATTCATTCAAATACTGTCCAATGTTTTCCTTTTCAGCACTTGAGATAATTATTGAATTGAATAACTTTAATTGAATTAAATAATAAAATATAAACAATTTTCATTCAATTCTCAAATCCTTATATTTGAGGGTCAAATATAAGCAAGCCACAAGGCACCCAAAGGTGCCTCATAAGTATGTGAAGGTAATCAACCAAGATGACTTCAAGATCAGGCAACTGACAAGAGAGAAAGTCCTCCAATCACAGCCATCTTTATGTTATATATTTGTTGTATTGACCTTGAACAATCTTCCATGAACTCACTATCAATGTTGCTAGTGTAATACCTAAGAAAACCCAGTAAGAGAAATTCAAATATTAAGAAACAAACTTTTGTTGATTGAGCTTTAAAGGGCCACGAACCATTATAATATCTAAGATGCTGTGCTCCCCAATAACCAATTTTTGCCTCCAACGAGGATGCAAGTTCTAACTTCTATGCTCCCAAATTTATCATACCAGCACCTAAAAAAACACAAAAAAATCAGTTTACCCAAGAAAGCCTCTATCCCACAGCTACCATGAGAGCTTTTCTACCATTATCATTCCTTGGCTACTTTTAAAGAAAAAGATTTCCATATCATTAGCCCTTCTTCCAAAAGAAACTCCCTTGCCCCAACCTCCTCCACCCCATTGCCCCTCAAAAACAGCCTAAATCTTTAGAGCTAGAAGAACACTCAGGGTTCATCCAGCCCCTCTTTCTTCAGATAAGGAAGCTGAAAGAGCCCTCTGGGGTTAAGAGACTTGATCAATCAAGATCACCCATCATGGGCAGGACTGTGTCTGTCTTGTTCACTGTTGTACCTCCAGGCTAGTACAGGGCTTGGCACCTAAATAACTGTTTACACACATAAGTGATTAACAACTATGGGCAAAGAGAGGTAAGAACCAGGTGACCTAAAACCCAAACTGGTACTGTTCCAACTATACCACTTTGTCCCTTTTCATTTCCCCAGGATATCAAATAATGGCCATAAAAACTATCAATATCAAATATGGCCACAAAGACTATCAGACTCTTCTTAAACGTGTGAAAAGCTTCCTAGCTGAAATAAGCTATTTGCACACCCAGTAAAATTGAAGAACTGGGTCTTATGAACTCAAGGTTGGAGTTCTTCAAGCCCATTTACAGTAAGGGACTTTCTACAAATAAGTGTATCTTACTTGCTCACACTTACTTGATCTCCTTCCTAGAGTTCTGGTACACAGGTCATAACTCCCTCATCAGACTGAGAACCCTAAAGAGGCAAAACTATGTCTTCTCTAAGGCAACTACTAAGCTGGAACCCAAAGTAAATGCTCAATAAATTCTTGCTTAGTTTATAGCAATGGAAGTGGTATGCTGTGAGGGACAAAAGTAAATTTGGCATGAACAAAGAATTGTCTGTATTTTGCTCATCAACTAGGACTAGTATAGTACCTAGCACGTAACAGAAGCCTAATAGTTAATGAATGAAGAAAAATACATGAATGATATGGCAAAAACTGAGAGCTTTTAAGCAGCATCTTTTCTGCAGTCTTTCATTCATTCAACAAATATTTATTTACCCAGTACTATGTGCCAGGCTCTCTGCTACTCTGAAACCTAACTTCCCATACAGTTTCACCCACAGAAACCTACCTTCTCTCATCAGCTAATGCACCTCTAGCGTTCATCTTGTAGGCAGTGAGCATAGCTGGGGTGACCATTTGTCAAAGTATGTTGGAAACAGTACCAGTTTACACCTATTATCCCAGTGCTAATTAATAATAGCAACAATGCCCTAATCTAGAGAATTATATAGCCCTAAGTACAGCAAATCTTTCCCCACAAACAGACCAAGATTCAAATAGTTCACTCTACAGTCTTGGGACCCTCAACTCAAGGGGAAGGCTGTAAGCAAGGGTCTGGACAGCCTGGCTTGCCCTATGTCTCTCAGCCATGGAAGAAGCTGCAGTTCAGTTCTTGTTTTGTTTTTGTTTATTTTACGGCCCACATTTATAGTATTCCGTGTCAGGAGATTCCTGGCATTAAAGAGATGGTCGGAAATCAACCGCCTCCTCCAGCTCATCCACTATTGCATCATTTGAAACCAAAGCCTTCTAAAGGAAGCGATTCCTACAATTCAAGTCAGGTAAGATGGCAGCAACAGCAGCTGTGGGTGCTGGCTGCTGCTGGAGCCTCGGTCTCAACTTCAAGCGCAGGGAGAGCGCTGTCTCTGGAGCTGCCAGGTGCTGAAGGGAACAGTCAATAAATCAACAGGTCCGGCACGCCCGCCCCTGCGTGCTCAGGCCCGGGCGCGCCACGACTGGAGAAGTGGCTAATTAGTCAAACACAGTTGAGACCAGAGGAGGCCGGAGTCGGTTCTCAGAGCGCTTTTCCTCCGGCCACCGCCGACTCTGAGGACCCGCTAGGGGAAGTGTCCGGGCCCGGTGGAGGGAGGGGGAAGCACCACAGCCTGGGCTGCGGCTTCCGCCCTCCGGCCCCGACCCCCGGCAGCCCTGCCCTGCTCTCGTGGCAGGTACCCCTTGACTCGTACTTCCTCCGGCTGCCCCCTCTTTTCATCAATCTCAAGCCTTTCGGTTCTGCCACCAGGAAACTTCCATAGAAGGTCAGATTCCCAGGTCGAGAGATGATTCCAAGAAAACCCACAGGGCCAGTGTCGGGACGTCAGGGTCAGACTTCATAAAGCCCGGGCGTCGCTGGGCCGGCTCGGAACAGGTCAGAGCTGCGGGTCCTCCGCTCCCGCGCCCTCACGCCCATCTAAGTGCCGGCCGGACGCGGGTCCTCCATCCCCACGACCCACGGGGCCGGCGGCCCGAACCCCGGCAGCGCGTCCGCTCAGTGCGCCGCAGGCATCCTCCTAGCTCCAGCGGGGACAGACCTGCCGAGGCCGGGCGCGCCCACCCGACACCCGGCGCCCGCCCACCCCCGAGAGGGGACCAAGGGGGCGGGGCCTCGGCCGAGCCAGCCCGGCTGGCTCTTCTCTCCCGGACTCCCGTCCCGGGCTCCAGGGGTCATGCCCGCACTCCCCATCGGCTCGTACCTCGTCCGCTTTCAGCTCCGCTTGGCTGCCTGCGAGCGCCATGTTCCTCCTCCGGCTGCTGCCACCCAAAAACCAAGCAGGGAACTCAGAGCCGACTCCCGCTCTCGGCTCCGGGCTCAGCCCAGTGCAAGAGACAGAGAAAGGAGGACTGCCGGGCGCTCCCTCCTGGTCTCGGGGCGGGGCAATGCAGCTACGCTGCTTCCCCGCCCCCGAAGCCGGCAAGCCCCTAAAGCTTCCATTTTCTCCGCGAACGCCGCGCTAAGGGCCAGCGACTTGTCCGGCCCCCCGTAGGCTCGCCCGCCTGTGCCCGCGTGGGAGCAGCCAACCAGGCTTCCACAATGCGTCTCCGCCCCCAGCGGGCGGCCGCCCCGCCCACGTGGGCGAAGTCACCGCCCAGATAAAGTTTCCCGGTCCGGCACGCCCTCCGGAGGGTTTCCTAAGTTACCTGCTGCACGTGCTCTGCGGAGGCTGGTCACACCAGGAAAGAAGCTAGAGAGTGCGGGGATGACAAAACCAAGGTCAAAGCAGCGCCCCACCTGGGGCCCGTGGAAGCATCCACCTAGCCCTTGGTCAGGTGCCGGTCATTTTCCCTCGCCAGATGGGCACTGCATCTCGCAGATGGTGTGGCCTGAGGGCACCCCTGGGTCATGGTCACTGGTCCCCGAGAGGCCTTTGACACACCACCCGCCAGGACACTAGGTGGAAGGACTCTGTTTGCTTCTGTGTTCAAAAAATAGAAAAAACACGGGACAGAGATTTATACATCTTGGAACTCCTCTACCGCCCCCTACCCGGACAGTGTATTCTCCCCGTAGCATCCTGTATTGACCCCTTTTGTAACTCCAAATGTAGGTATGTAATTCGTGCTTGAACTATAAACTCCATGAGGGTAGGATGCTGTCTTCTTCAAGACTGTATCCCCAGCACCTAGATAGAACAGTGTCTTGCATATAGTATGTGCTCAACAGATATTTGTTGGCTGAATTTGAAAATTGAAACTACTTCTGATAGGTAAATAGAAAATTAAAAGGTAGATCTTTACAAGTTTGGGGTAGAGAGGTCAGCTTTACTTTACATGCAGAATACAGAAAAATACACCAAATTAAATGTGTAATTCAGTGACAAGTATTTACAAAACATCCCAGCCATAATATAGAACATCCTGAAAAGTTTTCTGTGACCTATTGCTGTCAATTTCCTGCCTCCGCTCCCTGACCTTTGTCAATCACTGATCTACCATCAACATCGATTTGCCTTTTCTTTTTTTTTTTTTTTTAAGACGGGTTTCACCATGTTGGCCAGGCTGGTCTTGAACTCCTGACCTCAGGTGATCCACCAACCTCTGCCTCCTAAAGTGCTGATAGTACAGGCGTGAGCCACGGCGCCCAGCCCAATTTGCCTTTTCTAGAATTTCATATAAATTTAATCAGAGCATGTGGTCTTTCATGTTTGGCTCATGAAAGGCTATTTAATAGTCATCCAGTGATAACTGTAAAAACAGCTATGCCAAGCATGGTGGCTCACGCCTGTAATCCCAGCACTTTGGGAGGCCGAGGTAGGCAGATCACAAGGTTAAATGATCGAGACCATCCTGGCCAACATGGTGAAATTCCGTCTCTACTAAAAATAGAAAAATTAGCTGGATGTGGTGGTGCATGCCTGTAGTCCCCAGCTACTCAGGAGACTGAGGCAAGAGAATCGCTTGAAATCGGGAGGCGGAGGTTGCAGTGAGCCGAGGTCGCGCCTCTGCACTCCAGCCTGGGTAACAGAGTGAGACTCTGTCTCAAAAAAAGAAAGAAAAAAAGAAAAAACAGCTAATAGTTATTGAATCCTTACTATGTGCCAGGACTCTACTGAACCTCTTGCATATAGCATTTCATTTATTCTTCATAACCCCATAAAGCAGGGTGCTGTCCTCTTACAGATGAGTAAACTGATGAGGCTCAGAGAGTTCAAGTAATATGCCTGAGGCCAGACAGCAGTTAAGTAAGTAGGGATGCCAGAATCTGAACGCCAGCAGTCTGACTCTAGGGCCTAGCTGATAACCATTGTTTTGTACTGCCCCTAGCCACCCTCCCCTCTTTCTTTCTGTGTCAGTAAAGCAGTTGCCAGTACAAGTCCCTTACATACCTTTTCAGTGAGTCACTTTGCATCCTTAATACTTGTTGTATGATCTTAATGGTTTGGTAGTACTTTTATACTAGAAAAGTAAAATGGTTTCTACACCAGAAACATTGAAAAAATGGGTTAGATCGTGTGATGGTTGCTCACCCTCTGAATTGTCTAAAAATCCTTGAATTGTATACTTACACTGGGTGAAATTTGTGATCATATAAATTATATCTTAGTAAAGCTGGTTTAAAAAAACCAGTTGACACAGGCTAGGTGTGGTGGCTCACGCCTGTATGGGATTACAGCACTGGGAGACTGAGGCAGGAATCTAGCTTGAGTTCAGGAGTTCGAGACTAGCCTGAGATACATAGCAAGACCCTGTTTCTAAATAACAATACCTTTAAGTCCAGGCACAGTGGTTCATGCCTATAATCCCAGCACTTTGGGAGGCCGAGGCAGGTGGATCACCTGAGGTCAGGAGTTCAAGACCAGCCTGGCCAACACGGTAACACCCTGTCTCTACTAAAAATGCAAAAAATTAGCCAGGCGTGGTGGCAGGCACCTATAATCCCAGCTACTGAGGAGGCTCAGACAGGAGAATATCTTTAACCCATGAGGCAGAGGTTGCAGTGAGCCGAGATCACACCATTGCACTCCAGCCTAGGCAACAAGAGTGAAACTCCGTCAATAATAATAATAATATTTTATTATTTAGAATATACTGTCTGAACACTTAGAATCAGATGGTCTAGAAGAGACCTAGAGTTTGTTTAATTCCAATACCCCTGAAAATTTCCATTCCTCTCCAGACCCCCAACCCACTCCTACCTCCTCCTATGTTTCACTTTCTGAGGCTCAAATTTCTGTCCAGTCCAGATTCTACTCTGTATTACTCATGCATGATTCTGTTTTTTAAAGTTCATTGGTTCCTAAGTTGATAGCACATCTTTCTGACATGAAGCCATCTCGTTGGTAGCTTCCTCTCCCATATGCTGTTATTCTGCCTTAGGAATTTCAAATCTTCAAATTTTGAAGAAATACAAACAAACCTGGCTCTAATTAGTGACAGAATTATGTTATAAAGAGAATCAAGTGTATTATTTAAAAATCTATACTTATAAATGAAGCTTGACTGGTGTTTTTGTTGTTGATTTTTTCAGATATCAGGGAGCAAATCTGAAGTCCTGTATGTTTTAAATTCACGTAAGAAGATTAGCAACATTCATGTTTCAGTTATAAACACTGAATGAATAAATGTTTTCTAGCCACTGGAAGCTCTAATTAAATTTGCTTTGCTCAGGGCAACTGTCAACTTTCTTTGCCCATACATGTGATTTTCACATGTGTGATTTTATCATGAATCACAAATATAAAACAGTTTTTCTTCAAAGAACAATTAGAATGGATTTGTTTTTACACAGAATTCCCCTTGCCAGTTTGCTGGTAATGTTATACTTTAGCAGTGAAGTGAGATTACTCAAATAATCCATATCCCAGAAGTAATTAGCATAGAGGTTAAGCAAGAGGTATCTGAATCATTTCATTTTGAAGCCACACCTACTGGGAGCTGTTTGGGCTTCAAAATAAATCTAATATTGCAGACAATCTAATCTGTTTTTTTAATTTTTTTCTTTTAAAATGGAGTCTCACTTTGTCACCCAAGCTGGAGTGCAGTGGCTCAATCTTAGCTCACTACAACCTCCGCCTACTGGGTTCAAGCGATTCTCTTGCCTCAGCCTCCAAAGTAGCTGGGATTACAGGTATGCACCACCACACCAGGCTAATTTTTGTATTTTTAATAGAGACAGGGTTTCACCATGTTGGTCAGGCTGGTCTCGAACTCCTGACCTTATTATCCACCAGCCTCAGCCTCCCAAAGTGCTGTGATTACAGGCGTGAGCCAATACATCTGGCCCAGCCAATCTAATCTTTAGTACTCCTGAACATGTTACCTTTAACTGATAGCTTTTTGTGCTGGTATTTGATTTTAATAAAAAATTGAATCTTTGGCTGGGCATGGTGGCTCATGCTTGTAATCCCAGCACTGTGGGAGGCTGAGGGGGCCAGATCACCTGAGGTCGGGAGTTCAAGACCAGCCTGACCAACATGGAGAAACCCCGTGTCTACTAAAAATACAAAATTAGCCAGGTGTGGTGGCGCATGCCTGTAATCCCTGCTACTCAGGAGGCTGAGAATCACTTGAACCCGGGAGGCGGAGGTTGAGGTAAGCCAGATCACACCATTGTACTCCAGCCTGGGAAGGAAGAGCAGAACTCCATCTCAAAAAAAAAAAAAAGAAAAAAGAAAAAGAAAATTGAATCTTTATGATTTGTGCCATAGGAGAAGCTCAAATCTATGAAATAAGTGCTCATCATAAATCATGTGTTTGTCAATGGTCGTGTCTCACATTCATGTCTTAGCTCCTCAAGGAAAGCTTCCCCTTCTAAAACAGCCCTCCCTGTCAGTCACACTCTGCCACATCCTCCTGCTGTATGTATAGCACTGTTCACTACCAGGAACTCTCTTGTTCGTTTGTTTACTTGTTTATGTCTATGTCCCTCAACAACAGCACACTATAACATAAGCTCCATGAGGGAAGGGACCTTATGTTTTGTGTCTAAAGCAAAAACCCCAATGCCCAACACATAATGACTACTTAATAAATAGGTATGGAATGAATGAATGAAAGTATAAAAAGTTCATAGTACAGTAAGCATTATTGTTTAGACCTAGCAGCCAATGTCTTAGCATAGTCCAGTAATAATGAGGGAGATTTAAAGAATGCAAATCATGCGTAGTCTAAAATATAAATTGTTTCCTAGCATAATGTACAGGCTTGAGGATTATCTTTAACACATACTCAGTTTTTCAAAATTACCTCTAAAGCACTTAGAGGTCCCTCAGTGACCTAAAGAGGAATAATTTCACCTCCCTGGGAGAGGTTTCCATGCTAAGGGGAAAAACCTCATCACTTAGTGGAAGCTGAAATCTTCCCTTCAGAATATCCTTTTTCCAGGCACTTGAAGCTAGGTAAACATTTATTTTGCCCTACTTATTAGTTGTTTGTTCACTTTTTTGATACACACACACACACACACACACACACACACACACACACACATATATAAAATATTTCCAATAGCCTTCCTGTTGATTTTCATATCTCTTTAAA